GATCCGAAAGAGATTAAAATGACCTACTGACACCTACTAATTGTTTTTATAAACTGTATTAATCTATCACATGAGAAACTTGCAATATTTTAACATGATGCTTCTAAAATAGCATAATAATATAATGGTAAAGTAAAATTGAGAAAAGAATTATCTTTTTTCAAACAATTTCATAACAACATATCCTTCATAAGAAGAAACAGGGTATTTTACATAAATAGGTAAAAAATTACAATTCCTTTTCACATGAATTTTTAAGCACTATAATTAGATAAAATATTAACAGATGACTTCAAGAATAATATCAAAATCTAAAACCCCAACAAACACTGTAATTCGTTTTTAAATAATACTGCAAATGAATCCAACTAGTTATCTTTCTCAGATCCTGATTTTTGACAACAAAACACAAATGAGAATGTTATGCACCAAAGATGTAATTTATGAAAACCAGAGAGAAATTTAACTAACATATTCTTTCTCTGTTTACTATTTTATAATTCGGAACTTAATTTCAATTAAATTTTTCGAATGTTTCAGGTGATACATAAAAAATATTAAGCAGAAAATTATTCGTTAAGTATAGACGAATTCATAAAAAATGTTTCTACAACTGAAATTGATCAGAAAACCAGAATTCACGACACATGTAGAATATATAAACATAAATTATAGAATAATTGATTAAGTTATTTACAATTTTAGACTGAAATTTCAACAATTCAAATAAGTAACTTACTCTTAACTCAGGAGGCAATCCTGTAAAATGTAAAAGTCTTCGAACAAAAGCTGTTAGTTCAGAACAGAATACAACTGTTTATCTCCCCTAAATAACTTTATAAACTGCTTAACAGATAATGCAAACGTATCCAGTCTGCTTCGGAACATTCTTCTTTGAATTGAATTACGATGATGTATTCAATTTAAAAGATACATCGCTAAACATTCATCCGACGCCATTACTTTTCGATCGGAAGATTTTAAACGGTTGCACATAAGCAGCCGAAAACCAGACGATCGCTACGCCGCACGAAATGGTTTCGATCGGTGCTGGAGGATTGCAAATTGTCGCTCCGCACGAAAAACCCGTCATATGTGACGTCACTCTCGTATCGAGATCTCGTCGCACGCAAGGAGGATACGGCCCCAGGACTCTGCTTTCCAGCGACACGGGTTTACACGCATGGAAAACACATGGCAGTTTTCTCCTTACTCGAAAACTAGAGACAAGGGCTGTTTTAGTATCTCATTACAAGCCCCATCCTCCGAAGCAGAAAGCCATATGAGAGAAAGGAAGGAAAACGTTAGAGCTCAGAGGAGACGGAAAAGAGGATAGATCACTAGGCCTCCAGGATCGTGACACTCGTCTCCCCAAGAAGATGATTCCCTGAAGGGCAAAATGGACTATGAGTCAGCTCCCTTTTATAGAAGCCCCTTTATAGTGTTGGGCTGTACATCAACACTCTGTGATGATGTAGGCAACGAAACCCTGATTTATGTACACCACTGTATTTCGGGATTGCCACACCCGTTCTCACAAAAAGTGAGCCCCTAAGGGGGTGTCAAACACTGAAAGAATAGGTGTGGTACTGCTGCTTGCGTTTAGGACAGGGCGATGAGGTAAGTAATTACCAAAGGAGTTCATTTAGGAAGGAGGCACATTTTCTATGATACCTTCATCAAAATGTTATCAACCGATAGATGGCATTGTAGAAAAGCCGCCGATAGGGGGCGCACGATATCAATCGAGAATCGGGAAGCGAGAGAATAGGATTAGTGTTAAGAATGTTCCGTAATGATATGTATATATGTATATAATTGTTGTAACAATAAAGCATTTATAAAATGCAAGAGTTATCCCGATTGAATGAAAAGTGAAAGCCCGACTTACCCCTAGCCGTCCTGAGATTGATAACGGAGATTAAAGCTAACATTTCAGAAGCGGGATGATTGATGTAAGTAGGCATTGAATGACTCGCGTACCAAGAACGTCGAAGAAGGGGTAAGTTTCGTTTTTAAAGATTTGAATGCATGCGAACTGTAGAATAATTCTAACAGAATTTAGAAGTATAGAATTATATTATTAGGTAATATTATGGATGAGAATACAAAGAAAGCTTTAGATAAAGCAAAAACGAAACGTAAAACGTTAAGAAGGTTAACAACACAAGTAGTTAACAGAATATGTGAATTATTAGAACAGGATATTGTAGATACAAAATCACTAGAAGAATGTGATATGAATCTACAAGAAAAAGCAGATCAGATGTTTAAGTTAGATTCAGAAATTGAGAATTTAATTCCTGAAGTATCTGATCTGGAAACAGAAGTCGAGAATAATCAGGAATACAGAGAAAGTATCATCTACGCGAAATCGAAAGTTAAGAATTATCTTCAGAATTCAGATAGAAACAAGGGAGATTTTTCGTTGAAGAATAATTCTTCACTTACTTCGAATAGTGAACCAGACAAACCAAGAATAAATTTGCCGAAACTTCATGTAGAACCGTTTGAGGGTAATTTAGAGAAGTTTCAGGAATTTTGGTCACAGTTTGATAATGCGATTCACAGTAACGAACGCTTATCTAAAGTAGATAAATATAATTATCTTAAAGCTTTCTTGAAAGGACCAGCCTTAATTAGTATTCAAGGACTATTGGTATCGGAAAATAATTATGATTTAGCAGTTGAATTGCTTAAAGAAAGATACGGGAAAAAAGAAATTATTGTAAGATCTCATATTAACCATTTGTTAAATTTAAGTGCAGTAAAATCAGCTTCGTATTTGAAACAGTTAAGGGAGTTATACGATACGATAGAAATCCAAGTACGGGGTTTACAAACTCTTGGTGTCGAACTGAATTCATATGGAAGTTTGTTGTTTCCACTTCTAACCAAACTTATTCCAGATTCCATTGTGCTAGATTTTTATAGACAGCATGAAAAAGACGATTCTTGGAATGTAACAGAATTATTAAAATTTCTTAGAAGAGAAATAGAAACGCGAGAACGAACATTTTTGTTTCGACAAACAAGGGAAAATAATGAATCAGTTAAAAGCGTAGACTATAAACTGTCAGTTAATAAATTTTCGGAAAAGGGGAATAGATTTCAGAAGTTTAAAGGGAAGCAGCAAGATTCGATTCCTAACGCAACCGCACTGAGCACATTTCAGAAAATTTGCATTTTTTTGCAATAATTCTGAGCACAGTTTCCGAAAATTGTGATAAGGAACGCGAACAGAAATTAGAAAGTTTAAAACGGAACGGGAAGATGTTTTCTATGCTTCCAAAAATTTCACGTGGTCCGCTTATGTAAATCAAAAGAGCGCTGCACGACATGTAAGCGTAAACATTCTAGCTTGATTTGTGACGCCAAATGCCTCCCGCGTCAGACAGAGAGTCGCGAAGAAATGAAGAATGACAAAATGAAAGATCAAAATAGTGTCGCGATGAATCATGATGGATTATCTGACGTTTCAAAGTATTTGAAGAAAGCAATAATTAACGACAGTGAACCGATCGAATGTTTGATTGATACTGGAAGCGCTGTCAGTCTATTAAGATTTTCGGTCTTTTTCGAAATTACGATTACCAGTGCAACCGGAAGCCAAAAAAAATTGTTTGGAATCGGGAGCGTAAATCACGCATCTACAACGACCTTGGGAAAAGTTCATGTTTCACTTCGAATCGAATCGGCGAAATCCAAACAACCGCGAATTTGTTTATCGTAAATGATGAAGGTACAGCCGTATGACCTAATTATTGGGAGAGATATTTTAAAACGATCAGATGTTGGCTTATGGGAAAATAGGGGATTCGTTTAATATATGGTATGCTAATAAAATTCCATTCGCGCAATTGATAAACGAAACGGAGCGTAAACACATTAAGTTATATTCTGAGAAACCAATAGAAATAAAAAGTAACACGATAAACTTTGTGCATTCTGTAGCCCCAGATATAAATAATGGACTGATTTTATTTCAAAGCAAGCATGGAAGTCCGGATTCAGTAATGGAGGTTACAAATGGTAGGGTAACAGTCCCAGTTATGAACATAGGACACAATAACATCAGATTAAAAGAAAATCAGTGTATCAGCAGGGTAATAGATATAACAGAAGATTGGGAATTAAAGGAAGTAGACAAGCCCAATATAAACAAAGATGAAGAACAAAACCATGTATTTTCCATTTCTCAAAATATTCACCGAATAAAGATAGATGATATAAAATTTGATGAGGCAACTACAGATAGTGAAAGAACTGATATCTTAAAATTAGTAAATGAATTTAGGGATTGCTTTGCTCTTAATTTAAATGAATTAGGTTGCACGAACGTAATAAAAATGGACATCAAAGAAATTGACGGGAGTAAGCCTGTGTCTTCTCGCCCATACAAAACGAATGCAGCTGAACGTAATGTAATAAAAGAATTGTTAAGGAATGGAAAGATAATGGGATAGTTTCCGAAACTAGATCGTCTTACGCTAGTCCAGTGTTACTAGTAAAGAAAAAACATGGGAATACAGACTAGTAATTGATTACCGCAGACTTAATAGTCAGACGATAAAGGATAAGTTCCCTTTGCCTCGAATAGATGATCTTTGAGAATGTTTAGGAGGATGCAAAATTTTCACTACTCTGAATTTAGCCCATGGCTATTTGCAAATATCCTTAAGTGAAGAAGCTAAATTGAAGACGGCGTTCATTACTCCAGATGAAACAGGACAGTTCGAAAGGATGACATTTGGGTTAGTAAATGCTCCTGCTGCTGAGTTTTCAGCGCCTAATGTCATATGTCCTAGGCCCCTTGTTGAATACTAAGGTGTTGTGTTATATGGATGATATACTTATTCCTGCAAAATCTTGGGAAGAGATGATTTTCAAATTAAAGGAGGTATTAGAATGCCTAAGAAAAGCAAATTTAACCTTGAAATTATCTAAATGTGAATTTGGGAAAAGAGAAGTAGATTTCTTGGGTTTTATTATAAACGAAGATGGTATTAGAACCGGGATCTAGAAAAATAAAAGCCATAACAGAATTTCCAGAACCAAAGAATGTGCACGAAGTGCGAAGATTTTTGGGCCTGACTGGATTTTTCAGACGATTTGTGCCGAAGTATGCGTTAAAAAGCGAACCATTGACCAGATTGACAAAGAAGAATCGAGACTTCGAGTGGAAGCAAGAACAAAAGAAGTCGTTCGAACTATTGAAGAAACAACTGACTGATAAGCCCATATTAGCTCACTATCAACCGCATGCAGATACTGAAGTCCATTGTGATGCAAGTGCAGAAGGTTTGAGTGGAATGCTAATGCAACGTGATGAAGATCGGAAAATGGCATCTTGTTTATTGCGTCAGTAAGAAAACAACAGAAGCAGAGAGAAAGTATCATTCCAGCAAATTGGAGTTAATGGCCATCGTATGGACGTTGGACAGGTTAAGACAGTTCTTAATCGGCATAAGATTTACAATTATTACTGACTGTCAAGCTCTAATATATATGAATGCGAAGAAGACTACAAATCCTCAAATAGCCCGTTGGTGTAGTTTGATTCAAGAATACGATTTTGAGATAAAGCATAGGTCAGGAAAAAGACTGTCACATATTGATGCTTTGAGCAGAGGTCCTGTATCAGAAGCTGATGATACGATGACGAGAATAGCTGAAAATTTTGAAGTTTGCCAGTCCCTAACCGAAGAAGAGCAAATACTACTAATGATACAAAATGCTGACCAAGACCTGAAAAGAATTATCGAAATTTTCAAGAAGAAACAAGAGGAACGAACTGCTGAGGAGAAAAAATAATTATGAATTACGTGTTTAAGAAGAATAGACTGTTTTGGAAAACCGTAGTGGATGGAAAGGAGAGACTACTCAATGTTATTCCAAAAGCATGAGGAAGAGTGTAGTGGTGAAATTCCATGATTTATTTGGTCACTTTTCTGTGGATAGAAACAGTTAGCAAAATTAAGGAATTATATTGGTTTCCAAGCATGAAACGATACGTACGAAGACACATATCAGCATGTATTGAGTGCCTTATGAATAAAGCGACAGGTGGCAAGCAACAAGGACTGTTACATCCCATAAAAACCTGGTAAAAGACCGTTTGCTATTGTTCACATGGATCACTTGGGTCCTTTCGTAAAGAGTTCGAGAGGTAATCAAGAACTATTAGTGATAATTGATAACATGACTAGGTTCGTGAGAATTTTTGCAGTTAAGAATACTAGTGCTAAAATGTTTTACAGTCTTTGAAGAATTTTGTTAATGATTTTGGACTACCGAAAGAATAATAAAGTGATATAGAGGATCGTTTACTTTTCACTACTTCTCACCAATTTAAACAGCAGTATTGTATACAGATAACGGAATACATCATACTTTGACTTTGAATTCTACCAAACACCCCCAAGCCAATGGTATGGTAGAGCGCGTCAACAGAACAATTTTAGGAACGATAATGACAAGTTTGATGGATAAACAACACAGAGATTGGGATTCAAAAATAAAAGAGACAGGAAAGAAATCTTAACAACATGGTAAACAAAACTACGAATAAGACTCCATTTGAAATGCTATATGGAAGTATTCTTCCAGATTTAATGATGGAATACTTAGGAAGTTAGCAGATGAAGATTCAGATGCATGGAAAGACCCGCGAGGAAGAATTGAGGAACAGCAAGTGAAAATGAAAAAGAGATTCGATGGGAAGAGGTGTCGTACACTAATATTCGAGCAAGGAGAAATAGTTGTGATGAGATGTGCTCCTAAGGCTACAGGTCAACCTACCAAAACACAGCCGAAATATCGAGGGCCATTTATAATAACGGAAATATTACCTAGCGATACCTACAGAATAACTCAACTAGAAGCGAAGAATCGAGGCCGCTACTTCACTACCACTGCTCATGTGAGCCAGCTGAAGCCATGGAGATGCGATCCCAGCTCTGACGATGATGATGACGACGGCGACGATGAAGATACTGACCAGTTATCAAGCTAAATTCCTCGACGGAATCCAATCAGATCTGTTCGTAAGGACTGATGGAAGTGCTCTACTCTCATTAAGGTGAGATCTTTCCTTTTTTGTGTGTGTGTGCTTATCTACGTATGTTTGCTGATAGAAAACTTTAGAAACTTTGAACTTTTGAACACTAATTGACTTTGAACTTTTGAACACTAATTGACTTGAACTAATTGAAGCTGAACTTTTGAACATTAGCTGAAAGACTTTAGTGCATTTGTTTTGAATCATTTTAGGACTGAAAAAAAATTGAGTTATTTCACATATATAACGTATTTGTAATGATTTACAGAAAAGTTTTGATTATTATGCTAATGTATAAAAATATGTGAATTTATGTATGTGAAAATATTTTAGCAAGTTTATCATATCAAATTTTAGTATAATTAGTATATTTAGTATAATTAGTATCAAATTTTAGTATAATTAGTATTCTTCTTAGTGTATTAGTAATATGTATGTTTAGTATCGTGTATAAGAGTCGAAGTAGAAAATTGTATTAATTATAAAACTGATTTGTACTCCGAACAATCGGGACGATTGTCAAGTCAGAATGACCGAATGTTATCAGCCGATAGATGGCATTGTAGAAAAGCCGCCGATAGGGGGCGCACGATATCAATCGAGAATCGGGAAGCGAGAGAATAGGATTAGTGTTAACAATGCTCCGTAATGATATGTATATATGTATATAATTGTTGTAACAATAAAGCATTTATAAAATGCAAGAGTTATCCCGATTGAATGAAAAGTGAAAGCCCGACTTACCCCTAGCCGTCCTGAGATTGATAACGAAGATTAAAGCTAACAAATCCAATTTAAAAATATATTTTCATATTGTTGATACTAATTCATTGCTGAAAGTTTCGAAATGGTGTACTCGAGCCTCTTTTTATCTAAACTAAAATTATGAGATAAAGATGATTTATCGTCAGCCCAAGGTAAGAAAATTTCATACTGACCGTCATTATTTACTGTAACGGTTTTTAAAGAAATTTTTTTGCTCTGAAGGTCAACCTCATGTTTAGATTTCTTTTCTACAGGATCATTGATTTCTTATTAAGTCCAATCTCCACAGAATCGAAACTTCAGCTTCAGTTATAAACATTGATATCATCCTCATTGCTATGTTTTCATTAGAAGCTTCGTTTACTGGCTTCTTACTTATCAATGTCCACCTAAAGTAGTTTTACAGCAACGAGACTCAAAGACCAAATCATCCTATTTCTGATTTTAACAACCTTCCATTATGTCGGTTCCGTTAAGAATATGACTGGTTCCACAATTAACAGTAATATGCCATTTTCTTCTACCTCTCTAATACTTTACATACAGACCAAATATTACCATAGATTGTAGCTTGATCCAAAAGTTCGAAATTGCAAGTAAACATTTCATTTAAACTTCTCAATCTTATTTTATAGCAATTATGCTACAACTCATTACTTAAAACACCTCCGAAAAGAGTATGAACCATACTTTCTTGGCGAACAGGCAAAGAATTAATTTATTTCTTCGGATATACTCTTTGAGATGTAAAATTTATTCGAAGCTGAATCTAAAAGCAATGTCACAGTCTTCTGCTTACCATCAGAAATAAGTTTAGTTTTCAGAGTTTGAAGAAACACTCCAGGGGTATGTCTCTTGAAATTAGCCTTTTAAAACTTCGCCCTAGATCGAATTTTCATTTTTTTTTCGGCTGCATATTTTTGATTAGCGTATCAAGCGCATCACACATTAAAAGCATATGCTTTTTAAAACAAATCAAGCACTTTAAGAAAACTCGGCATTTCATAACTGGATGACATCTAGATAAACAAGCACAGCAGCAAAGCTTTACTTCTCCAATAAACTCATTTTTTGAACGGAAATCGATCAGAATTCATATGTTTACCATCATAAAAAACGCGTGATTTCGTAGCCTTTTAACCAGAAGCAGCTGGCAGTAGCGCTGCAACTGTCGGTGTTTTGTTAAGTAACCATTCTGCACTAGAATACTTCTTTTTTACTGGTTTATTATTATTATCTTGATGCTTTCCTAAACTAAAAGCAGTAACAGCTAATCATATTCTTTCTCCATCTACATCCGATCTCAAAACAGCATTAAATTGTTTAATCGATTCTTCGCATCCTTTTAAAATTGAAAGAATTACTACGATTCCATGCTTTTAAAACATCTGCTGGAAAGCAAGAAAATTGTATAATCCATTGGACAGGCACATTTATCAGTTGTCACGTTTAATGTTTTCAAAGCACGTAAATAACATTCAAGTTTATCGTACAAAGAAGTTAATGAAAACTTTTCCGTAGTTTGAACAGTTACGATTAATTTCAATAATTCTCTAATGTATACTTTGACTAAAATATCTTCCCTACCAAAACGGGATTTTAAACTTTCCACAGCCTTTTCGGACATCGGATATCGCTGGTGGTTCTTAAAGCACCAACCACTAGACGTTTTGACCTCTAAAGGTGGCGCTGTGATCTGAGGCCTTTGGCTGAAAATTGAAGAGAATAAGCGCTTTTGCGCGACTTAGATTAGTAAGCTTAGAAGCCCTCATGTGCTTTGCTGTATTCAAATAATTTAATCTAAACTAGGAAATATTTTTCTCTAACTAAATCTCTTAATAGGGAAATTGGGTTACTTTAATAACACAAATATATTATACGTAAAAGTGCAACATAATTTGCGAAAAGAAAAGATCTGATATAAAAAATTTTAAAAATAATCTCATAAATTTACATATAGGAAACATGTAGAAAAGTTCAGTGCTTTAAAGTAATACACCATTCAGTGTTTTAAAGTAATACATCATAACTAAAACGTGGTTATGGAAATATCGCATCATTCGTAATGTGGTGCTAAGTACCACGCATGGAAGTAAGTAATTATTTTGTGAAAAATTTCGAAAAATAGCTGAACACGATGAAAGTACTGCAGTAAAATGCATAAAATCATTTCTTTTTTCACAATATCTTTTAAAATTAAAAACAGCAAAAAGTGAATTATATCTACCAAATAAACCTGACTCCTTAAATTAAAATTTCTAAGCAGTGAGACAAAAATAAGATGACTTTTGATAATGGCCCTTGCTTTTGCACTCTTTGTAATACAAATAAAAGTTAATCAACTGCCAGTATTTCGTTTTGTTCATAGCATTTAAATTACGCTTTTATTATTACATATTAATTATTACTGATGTCATTCACATCAATGTACAATAAACAGTGCTTACCTGAAAATGTAGCATAGACGATGTGTTCAGCGAACAGAATATAAAAAAAAAAAAAAAAAAAAAAGTGGTTGCGAAGATCCTAAAGACAAACAAACGC